CTGCAAGAGAGGCCATGGCAAGTCCCCTATGCCGCCCAGGCCAGGCCTCATGTGAGTTTTCAACTTTGGCTTCTCTTCCTTTTGTTTCAACATGTCTTTGTATGCTTTTGCAATTGCATGTACAGTTGGGGCCACCACCCCCTTCCTTCCAAGGGCAGCTGCAAAGGAATGTGTTGGAAATCCAGGATAGGGAGTGCCCTCCTTGCTGTAGGCTGGGTGCTCCAGGCTTCTTTGAGCCTGGAAATTGCAGGACGGGGAGAGGTGGGGGAGTCCTATAATATGGTCACATTCTCTCAGCCACAAAGGAAAAAAATCCCCTCTTGTGTTCGGAGGTGACCCCCCCCCCCCAAGGACTCTGTAAAAGATAGTTCAAAATCAAGGAATTCATAGTTTTGCCAAGGACAACAGGCTGGAATGATCCCATAATCTCCTATCTCTCCTCCTGTTTTTATGAATGGAGTCCGACTACTTAGAGCTCCCCTCAACTTCCATGCACCCCCCCCCCATGAACTCTTATGAGTTCTCATTAACTTTATAGGAACTTTTATAAACTCCTGCCAAACTATGAACTTTTATGGACTTTGGGAGGCTGACGTGACTTCCCATTAGACCCTGCATGAGTCCCCCTTTTCCTTTGAACTCTGTGTATGCTCCCTTGCCCCATTCCTCATTACCTATATGTATGTATAGGGTCTGGAGAACAAGCCCTATGAGGAGCGGCTTAAGGAGCTGGGCATGTTTAGCCTGAAGAAGAGAAGGCTGAGAGGAGATATGATAGCCATGTATAAATATGTCAGAGGAAGCCACAGGGAGGAGGAGGGAGCAAGCTTGTTTTCTGCTTCCTTGCAGACTAGGACGCGATGGAACAATGGCTTCAAACTACAAGAGAGGAGATTCCATCTGAACATGAGGAAGAACTTCCTGACTGTGAGAGCCGTTCAGCAGTGGAACTCTCTGCCCCAGAGTGTGGTGGAGGCTCCTTCTTTGGAAGCTTTTAAACAGGGGCTGGATGGCCATCTGTCAGGGGTGATTTGAATGCAATATTCCTGCTTCTTGGCAGAATGCGGTTGGACTGGATGGCCCATGAGGTCTCTTCCAACTCTTTGATTCTATGATTCTATGTATGTCTATATAAGAAAATATGAAGGAAAGCGACTTTTTCATGAACCAGCAACTCATGTGTTGCAACTCAGAGTAAGCTTCACCTTGCTTCCAAACACCACCACGCAAGAGCTGTAGATTTATAGTTTATTGAGGAAAAAATCCAAGTCAAAATAAAGAGTAAGCATTGCAAAGTTCCAAAGATTTAGGTTAAATGCAGAATATAGTTCCAAAGATCTTCAGGTAAAAACAAGAGGCACAATCCTATAGGCAAAGTTCAAAACAAAGTCCAAGGTACAAGCAATGAAACAATTGCCCCAAGAATCACAATGCAAGAAATCCCAAGCATGCTGCTTTCCAGGCTAAGGTTATTCCATGAAGCTTTCAGGCTAATAAGCTACGCTGAACTGACGCTTTCTCTTAGTTTGCAACAAGCCTAAATACCTTTCTAACATGAAAACATTATGCTCTCACCAACATGAAAGCATTGCGATGACCTTTCCCTGAGCTGGCTTCTCGTCGCGGGTCAACTCTGCCTGACCCGCAAATCATTCCTGCTTCTTGGCAGAATGGGGTTGGACTGGATGGCCCAGGAGGTCTTTTCCAACTTTATGATTCTAAATGGAGGCAGGGCATGCCTTCAGAGGCATCCAATGCAAGTCAATCAGGCCCTCTAGGTGTTTTGGACTGTGGTAGTTGAAGTCCAAAACACCTGGAGGGCCAAAGTTTGCCCATGCCTGTACTAAACGGATCTTCATCTTCACTCACCTTTGTCATGGATGGACCAGTCAGGTTCTTACTCCTAATATTATGCTATTAACAGGAGATTTGGAAGACTGAGGGGCATCCCGTTACATTTTGAATTCATTTATCTTTTCTTTTGTCTCTTTAAAGAAATTCCCTGCATGTTTTGCCAATGTGTCCTGTCACAGCTCACACTAATAAGGAATGCCTGGAGGCTGGCAGTCATGGCCACCTCTGCGGTGGGCAGCCTGACTCACTCCCATGAGTCACTGGGTCATTTGTCTGCCACTGTGTGTCTTTTGGCCACAAACAGCCCTTCAGCCCTATAGACGGTCTGGAGGGTTTTCCCCTTTCTCTCTCGCTGCCCAGCCAAGAGAGAGGGACCAGCCATCCATCCATGTTTTGAAAAATTCCCATGGAAACAGTGTCTGGAAACTCCTTTTGCAATCACATTGTTTTCTCCCAATAGTTTCTGTCAAGCCATGAGCAATCTTTTATGGCCTTGGTAAGCGTCTCGTTGTGCAAGAATGTCTCCTCCTGGCACAGTCAGGCATCCCGAAGCCCACTGAAAAGCAGTGAAAGTGAACCTGGCAAATGGGACAACGGCCCCCCACCCCTCTTTTCAAGCAGCCTGAAGGCAAAGGCACACTGAGGTGGGGGGGGGGGGGGGGAGAGGAGGAGAGAAGGAAGAGAGGAGAAAGAGAGGAAAAGGAGGAGAAAAAGGAAAAGAGAGAGAGAAAAGGAAGAGAAAGAAAGGAGAAAAAGAAGGAAAGGAGGGAGGAGAGAAAGGGAAAAGGATGTGAAAAGAGGAGGAAAAGGAAAGTTAGAGGAGAAAATGGAAGAGGAGGAAAAGGAGGAGGAGGATGGAAAAGAAGTAAAGGAATAGGAAAGGGAGGAGGAGGGAAAGGAAGTTGAGGATAAAATGGAGAAGGAAAAGCAGGAAGGAAAGAAAGTAGGGGAGAAAGAGGAGGGAAAAGATTGAGAAAGAAGAAAAGGAAGTAGAAGAGAAAATGAAATAGAAGAAAAAGAAGGAAAGGAAGTAGAGGAGAAAGAGGAGGAAAAGGAGGAGAAAGAAGGAAAAGAAGCAGAAAAGAAAATGGAAAAAGAAAAGGAGAAAAGAAGTAGAGGAGAAAGAAGGAAAGAAAGAGAAGGAAAAGGAGAAGAAGGGAAGGAAGTACAGGAGAAAGAGGAGGAGAAGGAAATGAAAAGAGGAGAGAGGAGGAGGAAGGAAAAGGAAGAAAAAGAGAAGGAGGGGAAGAACAGGAGAAAGAAGGAAAGGAAAAGTAGTGGAGGGAGAGGAGTAGGAGTTAGGAAAGGAAATAGAGGAGAAAGAGGAAAGGGAAAAGGAGGATTGAAGTAGAAGAGAAAAATGAGAAAGAAGGAAAGGAAGTAGGGGATAAAGAGGAGGAAAAGGATGAGAAAGAAGGAAAGGTAGTAGGGGAGAAAGAGGAGGGGAAGAAAAGGAACTATAGAAAATCGAGGAGAAGGAAGGAAAGTAGAGTAGGAAGAGAAGGAGGAGAGGAAGGAAAAGCAAAGAGGAGGAGGAAGTAGAGGAGGAAAATAAGCAGAAAGAAGGGAAGAAAATACAGGAGGCAGGAGAAGGAAAAGAAACAGAGGAGGAGGAAAGAAGTAAAGGAGGAAGAAAAGGGGAAGAACAGGAGAAAGAAGGAAAGGAAATAGAGGAGGGAGAGGAGGAGGAAAAGATATAGAGGAGGTGGAAGAAAAGTAGAGGAAGAGAAGGAGAAAGGAAAGAAAGTAGAGGAAGATGAGTAGGAAAGTAAATAGAGGAGGCTGAAGAAGGAAGTAGAGGAGGAAGGAAAGGAAGTAGAAGAGGAAGAGAAGGAGGAGTGAGAAGAACAGGAGAAAGAAGGCAAGGAAGTAGAGGAGAAAGAGGAGGAGGAAGGAAATACATAGAAGAAGAGGAAGGAAGAAGGAAAAAGGAAGTAGATGAGGAAGGAAAGGAAGTATAGGAGGAAGAGAAGGAGGAGTGGGAAGAACAGGAGAAGGAAGGCAAGGAAGTAGAGGAGAAAGAGGAGGAGGAGGAAGGAAGGAAATACATAGAAGAAGAGGAGAAGGAAAGAAAGAAGGAAAAGGAAGTAGAGGAGGAAAGAAAGGAAGTAGAAGAGGAAGAGAAGGAGGAGTGGGAAGAACGGGAGAAAGTAGAGGAGAAAGAGGAGAAGGAGGAAGGAAGGAAATACATACAAGGAGAGGAGGAAAGAAAGAAGGAAAAGGAAGTAGAGAAGGAAAGAAAGGAAGGAGAAGAGGAAGACGGAAGTAGAAGAGGAAGAGAAGGAGGAGTGGGAAGAACAGGAGAAAGGCGGCAAGGAAGTAGAGGAGAAAGAGGAGGAGGAGGAAGGAAATACATACAAGGAGAGGAGGAGGAAAGAAAGAAGGAAAAGGAAGTAGAGGAGGAAAGGAAAGGAAGTAGAAGAGGAAGAGAAGGAGGAGTGGGAAGAACAGGAGAAGGAAGGCAAGGAAGTAGAGGAGAAAGAGGAGGAGGAGGAAGGAAGGAAATACATAGAAGAAGAGAAGGAAAGAAAGAAGGAAAAGGAAGTAGAGGAGGAAAGAAAGGAAGTAGAAGAGGAAGAGAAGGAGGAGTGGGAAGAACAGGAGAAAGTAGAGGAGAAAGAGGAGGAGGAGGAAGGAAGGAAATACATAGAAGAAGAGGAGGAAAGAAAGAAGGAAAAGGAAGTAGAGGAAAGAAAGGAAGTAGAAGAGGAAGAAGGAAGTAGAAGAGGAAGAGAAGGAGGAGTGGGAAGAACAGGAGAAGGAAGGCATGGATGTAGAGGAGAAAGAGGAGGAGGAAGGAAATACATAGAAGAGGAGAAGGAAAGAAAGAAGGAAAAGGAAGTAGAGGAGGAAAGAAAGGAAGTAGAAGAGGAAGAGAAGGAGGAGTGGGAAGAACAGGAGAAGGAAGGCAAGGAAGTAGAGGAGGAAGCCTGCCCTGGCAATTCCTCTTTTTATGCTGCAATGACAAACGGAACCAATAAGTTCAGGGGAAATGGCTTTCGAAGACCGAAAAAGGACGGAAGGGTGTGAAGCGACGGAACTTCCGGAAGAGGCCCGGAAGTTGCTGCTCCTGTGTGAGTCTAACTCTATGGAACGGCTTGCTAAGCTCTCATCGCTCTGTGGTTTCTGAGCCGGAAGTACGTCACAAGAGGCCGTGTCCTTTCCCAATTGCGGTCCCCTCGGCAACAAGAGCTGCGAAGCGGCGTTCCGGAGATCCGGAGCGATGAGCAAAGCGTGGCGGAGATCGGAAGCGGGCGGCGGGAGAATGGAGGGCGCCGGGAGGGGTAAGCAGAGCCGGGCAGGAAGGGAAGGAAGCGGCGGGGAGGCCTGCGTGGTCCCTTCCCACAAAGAAGAGAGCGTCTACACCGCAGAGTTAATACAGTTTGACATCGCTTTTAACTGCCATGGCTCCAGGGTGTGTAACGCTGAGATTTGAGGCAGAGAAGGCCCAAAAGGCCTTGCAAAACTACACCTCCCGGGATCCCATAGCCTTGAGCCATTGGCAGTTCAAGTGGTATCAACCCGCATTAACTCTGCAGTGTAGATGCACCCAAAATGAATGTGAGACTTCTGCGTCATACGCCCCTTCTACACTATCATATTGAAACCCACATTATCTGCTTTGAACCGGATTATTTGGCAGTGTAGACTCATCTAAACCAGTTCAAAGCAGATAATGAGGGTTATTTGCTTTGACTATCTGGATTATATGGGGCCCTTCCACACAGCCCTTAATCCCAGAATATCTAGGCAGAAATTCCCACAGTATTTGCTTTGAACTGTGTTATCTGAGTTCACACTCAGATAATGTGGGATTTTCTGCCTTGATATTCTGGGATATTACTTACTTACTTAGGCGATCCCTCGTAGTCCGAGTAGGATTGTCCCCCAAGTTCGATGTCCTGGGGGTGGGTTCGTAGGTGGCTGTGGAGCCCTATTCTTGCTCTGCATCTTCTCCCACAGTGAAGGCATTGGTTTCCAGGTGGAAGTCGGGGTTGGCTTGACGCGCCTTCCTCCTGGCACGCTTCTCCCTTTCGCCCTCCATTCGTGCCTCCTCAAATTCTGCAGCACTGCTGGTCACAGCTGAGTTCTAGCTGGAGCACTCAAGGGCCAGGGCTTCCCAGTTCTCAGTGTCTATGCCAGAGTTCTTAAGATTGGCTTGGAGGCCATCTTTCAGTCTCTTTTTCTGTCCACCAACATTCCGTTTTCCGTTCTTGAGTTCGGAGTAGAGCAACTGCTCTGGGAGACGGTGGTCGGGCATCCAGACAACGTGGCCAGTCCAACGGAGTTGATGGCGGAGGGCCATCGCTTCAATGCTAGTGGTCTTTGCTTCTTCCAGTACACTGACGTTTGTCCGCCTGTCTTCTCAAGAGATTTGCAGGATTTTCCTGAGGCAGCACTGATGGAATCGTTCCAGGATTTGCATGTGACGCCTGTAGACAGTCCACATTTCGCAGGCGTATAGCAAGGTTGGGAGGACAATAGCTTTGTAAACAAGCACCTTGGTCTCCCTATGGTTGTCCCGGTCCTCAAACACTCTCTGCTTCATTCGGGAAAATGCTGCACTCGCAGAGCTCAGGTGGTGTTGTATTTTGGTGTCGATGTTGACTTTGGTGGAGAGGTGGCTGCCAAGGGAGCAGAAATAGTCCACATTTTCTAATGTTACACCATTAAACTGTATCTCTGGCATTGGAAAGGGATTGGGTGGTGACTGCTGGAAGAGCACTTTGGTTTTCCTGATGTTCAATGACAGGCTGAGCTTCTCGTATGTTGCAATATAGGGCTATGTAGAAGCTGTAGAACATGAGAAACTATGTTTTGCTTCTAAAGAAATTGGTCCGCCACAACATTTTGTTGTCCCTGATTTGTAACAAGAAGCTGTCATTTGGACAGAGGATAGGAGAAAGAAATGGTTTTCCATCAAATACGTCTCGTCTTCACCATTTTTAATTTATATGCTGAATATATCATGCACAAAGCAGAGGAAAGAGGTGTGCACACTGGAGGAATTAGCAACAGGAGCAATGCAGCCCAGGTGGTTTGGTGCATTCTAAGCTCTGCAGTTGGTAGCCTTCTTGCTTTTCTTGGACCCTTGCAGGTGACGAGGATGAGTCCAACAGCCATGGGTCCCACAAGAAGAAGCACAAGAAGCACAAGAAAAAACACAAGAAGAGACACCATCGTGAGGACGGAGGCCTTTTGGCAGCGGAGACAAGCCCTGCTCCCCCAAAGCCTCAGCTGAAGCTCAAAATCAAGCTGGGAGGACAGATCCTGGGCACCAAGAGGTAAGGTGGAGGCGCAGGGATCAATAGCACTGGGCAGAAAGAGCAATTGAGGGGGGCACATTGTATTGGAACTCAACCACAACCTGCACAAGTTTATATTCCTCATCAAGGAATTAGATATAGGTAGATTAGTTGGCAGAGAAAGCCTCCCCCCCCCTTGCCCTCTTTGTCTGCCTCTCTCTTTCTCTCTTCCTATTTCTCCTTCTTAGACTGATAGGTTATAACTGTGAATTTTAATACTGTTACATTTATTAATGTTTGCATATTTGCATATTTCTTTTCAGACAGACTTTTAAAGATGGAGATGTTTTTTTAACTTTGAATATGTTTTTAATTTTTTTTTAGTGCTGCTTGTGGTTAATTCTGTTTTAATTGTTGCATATCCTACCGGGACTGTGGCGCAGCTGGCTGAGTGTCAGCTGCATTAAGATCACTCTGACCAAAAAGTCATGAGTTCGAAGCCAGCCTGGGTTGGAGTGGGTTTCCAACCAATTGTGTGTAGCCTGTTGTCGACCTTTGCAACCCGAAAGACAGTTGCATCTGTCAAGTAGGAAAATTAGGTACCACCTTAAAGTGTGGGGAGGCTAAATTAATTTATGAGGCCATAAAGAAGACTCCAGCAGAGCATTCCAGCGGGGAAGCATGCGGGGAATGCGGAAGTGCTTCATCAGCGTCGCAGATGGACGATGAAAGCGACAGCTCCCCTGGCGGGCAGAAAAAGTTAAATAGCCTCTGTCTATGTCTGTATATGTTTGTATGTCAAAATTTGGCATTGAATGTTTGCCATATATATGTGTACACTGTAATCCGCCCTGAGTCCCCTGCGGGGTGAGAAGGGCGGAATAGAAATACTGCAAATAAATAAATAAATAAATAAATAAATAAGCAACAATTAAAATTTGCATGGAGAGACAAGGTGTCTCCAGAGAGATAGAAACAGAGTCAACTAAGCCCTTATTTTCCTATCTAGAAATGTAGTTCTTTCAGTAAAGTCTTTTGTAAGGTTTAAAGCTTGACTCTGCTCCTATAATTGCTGAAGCTCCTTCTTTCTACTGCTGTTCCAAGAAGCTTCTGGTTTGCTAAAATTACAGCTGCTGATTTTTGATAACTACCAAAACATAGGACGTGTGATGTTGATGGGAAGGGGTGTGGGTTGGTCCATGTTTGGTTCAGCTTAACCTAAGAAACCTTCCAAGTATCTGAAAGAGAGGCACACTGAAGTTCAGGAACACCCTTGTGGGTCTGTTGCTTTGCATGGCTCTTTCCAGCCCAGTTCAGAGTTGGGTTTGGCTGGGCTGCAAATTTGTTGATTTGTTGGCTCTTTTCCTCCCTAGTGTGCCAACCTTCACTGTCATCCCCGAGAGGCCCCGCTCCCCGTCCCCACTGATGGTTGTGGATGATGAGGAAGAGCCCATGGAAGGCGTGCCCATTGAACAGTATCGAGCTTGGCTAGGTGAGTGGAAGAGGATGCTTTCCCTGTGGTGCTTCTTGGATATGGTTGTCCGAGGGGCCGGGGGAAGAGAAAAGAGCTTTTCAGGATCCCTTGGGTAGACAGAACTGCTCACCCCTTTTCTGCCAGACAGCCCAGCAGCTAGACTGCTTTCTTGGGGAGTAAGCTTGGATGATACCCGTTGACCCCAAGAAGGGTGTTGCACTCCAGGCCAGGAAGCCCTCTGACATTAAACACCACACAGCTGAGTGAAAATGCAAGCAGTTTATTGAAGATACTTAAAAGCAGTAGCAGTAAAAGCAGTAACGGCGCTCCATGCAGTCATGCTGGCCACATGACCTTGGAGGTGTCTACGGACAACGCCGGCTCTTTGGCTTAGAAATGGAGATGAGCACCACACCCCAGAGTCAGACATGACTGGATTTAATGTCAGGAGACAACCTTTACCTTTTACTAGCAGTAAAAAGCAATCCACAAAAGTAGGTAAATCCAATTCGGTAGAAAGATAGATAGAAACGAATAGTCCAGGAAATTAGTCCATCAGACTTCATGAAAACAAATACTGGAACTTCCAAGGTAAAACCCCGAAACTTGAGCATGACTCGGACAAGGCACTTAACACAGGAATCTATCCAAGGCAAGGCTTCCAGGGACCCGAGACGAAGTCTTGACTCAGTTCCAACGTTGCTTCGTCTGGCTACAGATTCTGTACTTGACACTTTTAATCTCCTAATCTACTCTATATCCCAAGCTGCCAGGAATGGATTTCTTTTCAGCCTTGAATCTGTTATCAATCTCTCCCACAATCTGGCAGAGAGCCTGAGAGCCTGGTTTGTTTTTCAATACCTCCCCGCTTAAGCAGTACCTATTTATCTACTCAAATTGCTGTTTTCAAAACTGCTAGGTAAGCAGAAGCTGGGCTAAAGGCCAGAAGCTCACCCTGACTCGGGCTTCGAACTGTCAACCAATATATTGTAAAATATTTTATTTACTATTATTTATTTATTTATTTATTACGTTTCTATACCGCCCTTCTCAACCCAAGGGCGACTCGGGGCGGTTTACAAAACCGACACAATTCGATGCCACAATAATATAAACAGTTAAAAGCATATAAACTTCCTTAAAATTCCATAAACAATAAAATCAATAAAACATAAATCCTCCATATCTAATTTCCAGAATCTCTATCCGATTGCAATTGTCCAGCCGTTCCGATTTCAAGTAATTATTTACTACATTGCATTTGAGAAAGCCTGCTCACAAAGCCAGGTTTTAACTTTTTTTGACACTTTTATCCCCTAATCTACTCTATATCCCAAGCAGCCAGGAATGGATTTTTTTTCAGCCTTGAATCTGTTATCAGTCTCTCCCGCAGTCTAGCAGAGCGCCTGAGAGCCTGGTTTGTTTTTCTTTGCTGTCAAAACAAAATCATCAGCGTCTCCTGACTAAAAATAAAGGTTGTCCCCTGACATTAAGTCCAGTCATGTCTGACTCTGGGGTGTGGTGCTCATCTCAATTTCTGAGCCGAAGAGCCGGCGTTGTCCATAGACACCTCCAAGGTCAGGTGGCCGGCATGATTGCATGGAGCGCCGTTACCTTCCCGCCGGAGCGGTACCTATTGATCTACTCACATTTGCTGTTTTCGAACTGCTAGGTTGGCAGAAGCTAGGGCAGACAGTGGAAGCTCACGCCGCTCCCCGGAATCGAAGCTGCGACCTTTCGATCAACAAGCTCAGCATCTCAGTGCTTTAACCCACTGCGCCACCGGGGGCCCTTTCTCCTATCTACTGGCTCATTATTTACAGCAGCTGGCCCAGGTGCAGAGCTTTTCTCAGGCTCAGAGCCTTGGGAATACTCTGGTAGCAATTCACGTCCGGGGAACATACCCTCCCCCCCAAACCCTTCAGGAACATTCCCCTCAGAAAAATCACATTGAACAGGAATCCCATTGTTATTCTCTACATCTAGAGCAACCTCATCATTAGACACATGAACCTCATTGTCACTCCCGACATCCAGAGTCCCCTGATCATTAGACACAATCACAGGTGGATGATTGGTGATCTCATTAAGCGAAAGAGGCGTGGCTCATTAGGACAGAACTAGATGGTAAAAACATACAACACAAGACTAAAGATGCATGTATACCACGCAAGGGGCAAACTTGGGCCCTCCAGGTGTTTAGGAATTGTGGGAGTTGAAGTCCAAAACACCTGGAGGGCCCAAGTTTGCCCCTTGCGTGGTATAGACACATTGCTTCCAAAGACCCCCTTCCTTTACACTTTTCTGTGGCCAGATGAGGACAGCAACCTGGAGCCCTCCCCTCTGCCAGAGATCGACTCTGAAATGGGTTTCCCGGCCCGTGAAGAGGAGGAAGAGCAGCGCTGGCTGGATGCCCTGGAGAGGGGCGAACTGGACGACAACGGGGAGCTCAAGAAGGAGGTGGACGAGTCTCTCCTGACAGCCAGGCAGGTGAGGAAACAGTGTGTCTTTTGGGTTGGAGGAAGCAAAGCGCATGCCAGGATGAGGCGTGCGGTGGTTGGGAAGCCTTGCAGACCTGGAAGGCAAGTATGGATTTGGGGCAGACCATATTGACCCTTTAGACCTTCTGTATATATGTCCCCTTCCTGAATGGCAGCATCGGGGTTCTTGATCAGGGTGTTGGAATAGGAAGCAGAGTGGCTGGATTGCTCAGCCCTGTCAGAAATAATAATAATGCATATAAAAAAAATACCAATTGTATAACATAAACAATAATATAATTCAATAACAGTATATAAACATGCTGCACTGTTAACCTCACAGCGACAACAAACAATATGGTGCAAATTTTTAGTACAGTCGTATTTTCTTATAAGTAGCTTGTGGATCAGCCGTCCACGACCGGTTTCGGCCTACCTCAGGCCTTCCTCTGGTGGACTGAAAATAATGTATAAATCAATGTTTTACTCCAGTAGCATATAGAACATCTGTATCATTAAATATCATAAATTACAACACATTTAAGTACTTACAAAGTTATACACTTGAACAAATTCTCCTCAGGGGATACAGATATTTTAGAGTCAGTGGTATCTACATCAAAGGAACGAAATGTGGCTATGAGAGTTTGAAAATTACTATGTTGAAAACGATAATATTGTAGAAATACTTAATATTCAAGTATTTTACACATTAAGAAATTAGTAAAGTCTTCACACTTGTTATTACATCAATATTTGTTGAACATATCCATTAAATACCATAAGTTACAACACATTTGAACACTTACAAAATTATAAACTTGAGAGTTTGTTCTCCTCAGGAGATGCAAATCTTTAGCTCAGTGGTATCTACATAAAAGGAACGAAATGTGGCTATAAGAGTTTGAAAATTACTATGTTAAAGATGACGCAGAGGAACGAGAGACCAGATTGCCAATATCCGGATGCTGGATAATGGAGAAAGGCAGGGAGTTTCAGAAAAACATCTACTTATGCTTCATTGACTATTCTAAAGCCTTTGACTGTGTGGATCATAATAAATTGTGGCAAGTTCTTGGTGGGATGGGCATACCAAGCCACCTTGTCTCTCTCCTGAGGAATCTGTACAAGGACCAAGTAGCAACAGTCAGAACTGACCACGGAACAACAGACTGGTTCAAGATTGGGAAAGGCGTCCGGCAAGGCTGCATCCTCTCACCCAACCTTTTTAACTTGTATGCAGAACACATCATGCGATGTGCGGGGCTTGAGGAATGCAAAGCTGGGGTGAAAATTGCTGGAAGAAACATTAACAACCTCAGATATGCAGATGACACCACTCTGATGGCCGAAAGCGAGGAGGAGCTGAGGAGCCTTCTAATCAAGGTGAAAGAAGAAAGCGCAAAAGCCGGGATGCAGCTAAACGTCAAAAAAACCAAGATTATGGCAACAAGAATGATTGACAACTGGAAAATAGAGGGAGAAACCGTGGAGGCCGTGACAGACTTTGTATTTCTAGGTGCAAAGAGTACTGCAGATGCAGACTGTGGCCAGGAAATCAGAAGATGCTTACTTCTTGGGAGGAGAGCAATGTCCAGTCTCGATAAAATAGTAAAGAGTAGAGACATCAGACTGGCAACAAAGATCCGCCTAGTCAAAGCCATGGTATTCCCTGTAGTCACCTACGGATGTGAGAGCTGGAACTTAGGGAAGGCTGAGCGAAGGAAGAGAGATGCTTTTGAGCTGTGGTGTTGGAGGAAAGTTCTGAGAGTGCCTTGGACTGCGAGAAGATCCAACCAGTCCATCCTCCAGGAAATAAAGCCCGACTGCTCATTGGAGGGAAGGATACTAGAGACAAAGTTGAAGTACTTTGGCCACATCATGAGGAGGAAAGCCTAGAGAAGACAATTATGCTGGGGAAAGTGGAAGGCAAAAGGAAGAGGGGCCGACCAAGGGCAAGATGGATGGATGGCATCCTTGAAGTGACTGGACTGACCTTGAGGGAGCTGGGGGTGGTGACGGCCGACATGGAGCTCTGGCGTGGGCTGGTCCATGAGGTCACGAAGAGTCGGAGACGACTGAACAAATGAACAACAACAACATGTTAAAGATGATTATTTTGTAGAAATATTAAAGCATTTTACACATTAAGAGGGTAGTCACATGGTACTCTGCTCTATGTTGAGTTCTGGCTGTGAGTATGGGAAAGATCTGTGGGTTCCCTCTATTTAAAGGGAAAAGAACTACTTCAGGTGAAAAGGGGAAGCTCAGTTAGAGCCATAGGAGCAAGGGTTGTGAACAGAAACCACCAGATGGCACTGTGGGTGCTCTCCATGTATTTAAGTAGGGGTGTATAGTATAATTGAGGTACAGAGATTATGTGTAACAGTTGTACAAATTTAGTTCATTCAGACCATGTGGGTATTCTGTCCTTAATCTAAAAATTCCAGTATGGTTCTCTCCGTAGAAGTTTATTGTGGAAATCAATTTGCTGGGAATGAGACTGTTTGATATGTTATGTGGGATGTACTTTTTAAAACTGATCATCTAAGTCTGTGAATATTTGTTGTTACGGCATTGAATTGCAATTACTTCTATACATCAAAATCATGACATGACAATGCAATATATAGATGGTATCCCTCTAGGCTATTCCCTCTCTAGGCCACTTTGTGATGGCTTCGTGTATTAGCGCCTGGGCCACATTGAACTTCTAGTTCACTGACATCTGGAGAGGCACTACACATTTGGTTTGTGAAAAATTATCATCATGACTTGGCGGGGAAATACAGATGTCCAACTTTGGCAACTACAGCAGATAACTGCTTGACATTATTGTCTACTTATTCTATATAGCCTATCCTATGTTTCTGTGCAAAAAATGTACATCAAAGAATGATGCAAATTTATGAGGTGACGTTTATTTTCACACTCTTTCCCCACACATTCAAATAAA